AGGTTATTGTGTTTATTGACTATGTTATTGTGTTTATTGACTATGTTATTGTGTTCATTGACTAAGTAATTGTGTTCATTGACTAAGTTATTGTGTTCATTGACTAGGTCATGCGTTCATTGACTAGGTTATTGTGTTCATTGACCAAGTTATTGTGTTCATTGACTATGTTATTGTGTTTATTGACTACGTTATTGTGTTCATTGACTAAGTAATTGTGTTCATTGACTAAGTCATTGTGTTCATTGACTAGGTCATGCGTTCATTGACTAGATTATTGTGTTCATTGACCAAGTTATTGTGTTCATTGACTATGTTATTGTGTTAATTGACTAAGTTATTGTGTTCATTGACTTAGTTATTGTGTTCATATTGACTAGGTTATTGTGTTCATTGACTTAGTATGTTGTTGTGTTCATTGACTATGTTGTTGTGTTCATTGACTAGGTTATTGTGTTTATTGACTAGGTTATTGTGTTAATTGACTAAGTTATTGCGTTCATTGACTAAGTTATTGTGTTCATTGATTAGGTCATGCGTTCATTGACTAGGTTATTGTGTTCATTGACCAAGGTATTGTGTTAATTGACTAGGTTATTGTGTTAATTGACTAAGTTATTGCGTTCATTGACTAAGTTATTGTGTTCATTGACTAGGTCATGCGGTTCATTGACTATGTTATTGTGTTTATTGACTATGTTATTGTGTTTATTGACTAGGTTATTGTGTTAATTGACTAAGTTATTGCGTTCATTGACTAAGTTATTGTGTTCATTGACGAAATTATTGTGTTAATTGACTAGGTTATTGGGTTAATTGACTAGGTTATTGTGTTCATTGACCAAGGTATTGTGTTAATTGACTAGGTTATTGTGTTAATTGACTAAGTTATTGTGTACATTGACTAAGTTATTGTGTTCATTGACTAGGTCATGCGGTTCATTGACTATGTTATTGTGTTTATTGACTAGGTTATTGTTTTTATTGACTAGGTTATTGTGTTAATCGACTAAGTTATTGTGTTCATTGACTAAGTTATTGTGTTCATTGATTAGGTCATGCGTTCATTGACTAGGTTATTGTGTTCATTGACCAAGTTATTGTGTTAATTGACTACGTTATTGTGTTCATTGACTAAGTTATTGTGTTCATTGACGAAATTATTGTGTTAATTGACTAGGTTATTGTGTTTGTTGACTAAGTTATTGTGTTCATTGACTAAGTAATTTTGTTCATTGACTAAGTTATTGTGTTCATTAACGAAATTATTGTGTTAATTGACTAGGTTATTGTGTTAATTGTCTAGGTTATTGTGTTCATTGACTTAGTTATTGTGTTGATTGACTAGGTTATTGTGTTAATTGACTAAGTTATTGCGTTCATTGACTAAGTTATTGTGTTCATTGACGAAGTTATTGTGTTAATTGACTAAGTTATTGTGTACATTGACTAAGTTATTGTGTTCATTGACTAGGTCATGCGTTCATTGACTATGTTATTGTGTTCATTGACCAAGTTATTGTGTTAATTGACTACGTTATTGTGTTCATTGACTAAGTAATTGTGTTCATTGACTAAGTTATTGTGTTCATTAACGAAATTATTGTGTTAATTGACTAGGTTATTGGGTTAATTGACTAGGTTATTGTGTTCATTGACCAAGGTATTGTGTTAATTGACTAGGTTATTGTGTTTATTGACTATGTTATTGTGTTTATTGACTAGGTTATTGTGTTTATTGACTATGTTATTGTGTTCATTGACTAAGTAATTGTGTTCATTGACTAAGTTATTGTGTTCATTAACGAAATTATTGTGTTAATTGACTAGGTTATTGTGTTTATTGACTAGGTTATTGTGTTTATTGACTATGTTATTGTGTTTATTGACTGTGTTATTGTGTTCATTGACTAAGTAATTGTGTTCATTGACTAAGTTATTGTGTTTATTGACTAGGTAATTGTGTTAATTGACTAAGTTATTGTGTTCATTGACTTAGTTATTGTGTTCATATTGACTAGGTTATTGTGTTCATTGACTTAGTATGTTGTTGTGTTCATTGACTATGTTGTTGTGTTCATTGACTAGGTTATTGTGTTTATTGACTAAGTTATTGTGTTCATTGACTAAGTAATTTTGTTCATTGACTAAGTTATTGTGTTCATTGACTAGGTCATGCGTTCATTGACTAGGTTATTGTGTTCATTGACCAAGTTATTGTGTTAATTGACTAGGTTATTGTGTTTATTGACTAGGTTATTGTGTTTATTGACTAGGTTATTGTGTTAATTGACTAAGTTATTGTGTTCATTGACTTAGTTATTGTGTTCATTGACTAGGCCATGCGTTCATTGACTAGGTTATTGTGTTCATGGACTAGATTTTTGTGTTTTTTAACTAAGAAAGTTTTTATTGAGCGTCAAAATATTTTCATTGAATAATAGACAATAGTGTTGAATATAATATGTTGTTTACAAGACAGGTTTTCGTTGTTCAGACAAGTGTATTTGTTGATTGGACAGTAACACGTGTTTTTGTCGACTTGACAAATATCTTCATTGCCGAGATATGTAAATAAACCAGTAAGATCCTCGATTGAACCATATTAGCAATGTGATCGTCAACTAGACCAATGACTTGGAAAGCAATTATTTCTAACAAGAATATAGAAATGTACACGGATGGTGTCCTCTGTACGTACATAGAGCAAGTATAAAGGATGGGAGATACGGTCCATTTCATAAAATGTATGTTAAACTTTTTTGTTGAAATTGTGGTATTTCATATTAAACAGCGTAATAGAACACAACTGATCTACGGGCTCTCTCGACCCGAAACCAACAAATGAATCAAGACTGTATACTAATATACTTCTACTGTAAGTGTCTCCATTTGCCATCTTCATTGTAGGTTAAACATATGTAATAAATAACCGGCTGGTAAACACCTTACGTCAATTTGTTAGGTTAAAAATTCTGATTTTATGATAGAACATTGTGGTTTGAGAATCGACGCCATTGGACTTTGTGCTCCTCCATGTCGAATATTCATCCGCAATGTAGTACCGTAATGAGTTATTACATCAATGAGAAGCTTAGCCTTTAAAATTACTTCATTATTACAAAATGTGAGGTATAAAGCCATAAACCCAACTACAAGATATTTCAGTATGTAAATTAGCAAACTTATCACCGCAATTCAATTCCTACGCGACCTGATCACTTACCGTCATTTGTTTTCAAACCATGTCATAAAAAGTTTTGGCATTTAATTTTAAAAGGAAAATCTTATTTATACTCGCTTTCTTTTCCGAATTCTGTAATTACTGTAACTTACTTTAGTTTGATAAGCGTATTGGTAATATACAATCATCACTCGTTGTGGACCCTCCATGTATCAGTAACTATGAGAATAACTTGATCAAGCTTACAATGCTTATTACAACACATTTTCAGCGTGTAAAACATAAAACGGCAAGCGTGTGGAAAATAATGAAACAAAATCATAATACTTTTATAACAATTTTGTTGTAATTTATTCAATAATAATAAAATGATAAAATGTTACTTCCGACAACTATGTGAAGTTGGTAATGATTACATGTCCAGGTTCGACTCCTGTCATGGCAGAGTTGACAGTCTTACAAGATGTACAAACACAAATTAAGAAAACATTCATAAAAATATATCATGAAATTAAAACATTGCATAAAAGATGACAAGCAGAAAAATATGTTTTTGTTGATTTTCTACTAAAAATCGATCATCAAACTTTCTAAATCCAATGTAATATATTTAAAAGCTTTAAAAATAGAACTTTGTCATGAACAGAAAACGAAGGCCTCAGAGTCCAAGACGTATATTAAAATATGAACGCGTGTTTGCTGTTCACATAATACTGCTATATTTGTTTTTGGGAAGAACTAGATAATTTTGAGATAAATTACATGCATTACATATATACGAGTATAGTGGTAGTATAAAGATGACGTTATTTGCACACATGCCGAATTGTCACATTGATTTGTCTTCTCTATCCATCGGCAAATTCTCTTAAAGTACCTTTATGCTGAAGAGTTCTGAAGTCTAGTTACTTCCGGTCCGAAGTGTCACAGGTGTTCGGACACCTCCTGTTTATATTCTATGTATATTTCACTGAACGCCATGGTCTATTTTTAATCCAGGAACGAGAAATCACGTCACTTTGAATGGTGTATCCCATATTTTTTGCAATAACGTTGCCATGGTAACAGACTTGCCAAGTTTCCTCTCCAGGGTGTGTGTAACTACACGATCAATATATCACTGTCGATCAACAGACGTCGTTATATTGCCGGAGGTATCCCCACGTGTGTATGTGTGTAAAATAGTGGCGGATTTTCTATATTTTTCAGCTGATGTTTTAGTTGTAAAATCCACGTACACACCACAAATTTTAGCTTCCATGATGACAAAACCCGCATAGCGCATAAATCATGTTGCCGTTCCGGTGAAGTTCATCACCATTGAATGCACTTATTTGTAATCCATCATTTAAAACTTTTCAATGTTCTTTCCCGATATAAATCCCACGATGGCGCGTGCTAGTTTTCTGTCTGAAGAGGCACCATCTTAATAGATAGACAAACAGATGTCGGCAAAAGGTCACAAGTTCACATGCATATTCCCATGCGAGGCACTTCTGTGAGATATAGTCTCATCCGTCTGTCGTTCGTCATCTCCGGACAACTTGTTGCTCCACTTTGCAACAAAACAAATCTATCAAAGTTTTATTTTTTGCAAACCGAGAGAATACACTTTACTAAAATGTCAGCCAGATGCTTTCCGTCGTACGAGATGTCTTGTATCAAGATGTTTCCAAAATTCAAACTGAAAGACAGTTTCTTTCGGTCCGACACGACACGTCACAATCAGCAGTAATAGATTAAGTTACAAGTATACTAGTAAACTTTCATAAAATGGATGCATGCATATCAAATAGTTACTTGTATGGTGCCTGGCTTATTCCCGGGCGATGGATTGGGGTGTCATTCCCTGGACCTCCTGTGCTTCCTGTACTAGCGCACAAATTCCACAAAAACACCATGTGAATAAGTCTGATACTGCCGACCCCTCAATGCCTTTAGCTTCACGGATTTTCCCACGGATTTTCATCACCGCATAGAAATTCACTAAAGGCACCAGCGACGCTATCCCGCAAAGGAAACACCCTTCTCCAACGGCCTCTGCATTTTTACCGAACTGGTAACACGGTACAAAATATGATACCAGGCACAAGCCGATATTGTCGAAACATCCAAAAAGACCGTGTTGAAACTCTCCCATTTTGAGAATTAGTTGTAAAGCTGTTTAGTGTGAAGAATATCGGAGTATAATGACAATCTGTCGCGAGCCTGACCGAGTGAGTATGCCACGCCTTTCTGGAATCGCTGCTGATGCACAGAGCATGCGTACTGGGCAAACTATTTTATATAGCGTAGGCTTGCTTCTTAGGGGCTCACGGCGGGTTACACCTATCTATAGAAGACGGGGCTATGTATTTAATACAAATACTTTTGAAGTGTGAAATTTGAGATGTCACTTTTGTTAAATTGTGACAAGTGAGATGAAGAAAAATTCTTTACGATTGATTTAACGTGAGATTATACGTCATGCTCTGTTGTATTGTATAAGGTAACCACAAGAAGGCGAACACAGACCCTAGGCGCCCCATTGTGGTATCAGAGGAATTTGCCCCTCGGGGATGATACAAACGACAAGATAGGGCCAGAAGGCACAATTAGTTTATGAAGCGTCCCGCTGACCCCCAACGGCGCATCCAGATTCAGAACAAATAATGTGTGTCGTATAGTCTTTAAATTAGTCTAACAGTTGGCATTTCAAATCTAGTTTAAAATGTCCCTGTGGCAATTTACATGCACGTTAAACTTTTTATTTATAAGAGCACGAGGTTGAAAACAACCTATGAGAATCCATACAGATGTGCTTTGACGGCATGTGTGTGTTAGCAGGCTAATGTACAGGTAGACTTTGTTACAATACACATGTACACAACTGACCTATGTGTCAGGCATCTGTATGTACATGTGTTGTTTTCTAGCTTTGCATAGAAAGTAAACGTCGCATGTAAATTAGACAGCTTGTTACTCAAGGAAATCTAACACCTACGCACCGAGTTTTATCCTTAAAATAACGCGTAACAAAGTTTTGTATTTGAGAAGTTCAGTTATTTGATATACGAACCACAACGATAGGGCATAGGTGAAGGGGTGTCGACAGTTTTTCAAATGAAATGTATGGTTAGCTTTAGCGTGGGAAAGTAAACAAAGGAGATCGCTTTTCATGCCTTTTCTTCTCTTTTAATTTTAGTGCGCATAAGGATCGACAATGAACAAAATAAAGTATCCTATTTCCATTCTATAATACTCTGGAATGCATTACGGCTAAAGCGAGTTTGAGTTTTTTAAGCTACATACGCTACAGGGGCTGTGAGCATCGCTAAACTTTAAAGAATTGTCATCTTAATGTGGTGTGGATGTTTAGCCCGCCCGAGGCTAGCGGAAACCTGTATACTTCCGTAAACTGATAAAACTGTTTCCCCGTCAAGGTAAAATATGTGTTGTTCGTTCTTAACTTCCAGTTTCTATACGGACTTAGACTGCTATCTATGTCCGTGATTACGACTCCTTTACTTCAGTAAGAATCAAATTCGTTTTTGTTGCACTATGTATATAGCAAAATAAGGAAAGAAACTCACAATCCTGTCATATTTTCAGGACGGTATTATTACTGAAGGAGTAATTGGTGTTGTGATCTGACAATGAGCGTGTTCGGCCCAAAATGATATTTGTAAAATCGTTATTTATTACAAAAAGAAAACAAAATATTTTAAAGAAAACTGATAAAACTGTTTCCCCGTCAAGGTAAAATATGTGTTGTTCGTTCTTAACTTCCAGTTTCTATACGGACTTAGACTGCTATCTATGTCCGTGATTACGACTCCTTTACTTCAGTAAGAATCAAATTCGTTTTTGTTGCACTATGTATATAGCAAAATAAGGAAAGAACCTCACAATCCTGTCATATTTTCAGGACGGTATTATTACTGAAGGAGTAATTGGAGTTGTGATCTGACAATGAGCGTGTTCGGCCCAAAATGATATTTGTAAAGTCGTTATTTATTACAAAAAGAAAACAAAATATTTTAAAGAAAACAGTATCGTATTGCATCACGAAACAGGTTCTAAATACGGTCGTTATTACATGTAGAAGGGCCTTTGTAACAAGACAGGCTCAGAAACGCTTAGCAATCACATTACAATATCACAGAAATGGCTTCTAGTGCGTTATCGTCCATGTTTATCTGGGGTTGCGACGTTTTGTTTGCTGTAAGGGGAAGGGTGTGAGGTCAAAGGCAGAAAAACAAGTCCAATGTCTACTCGAAGATCCTCAATGACTTGATCCTCTCTGATAAAACTTCTATGTCACTCACCGACAAGTGTAGCACTCACGTGTGAAGTATTGACTACCTACACAGACGCTGTCCGCCAATTACTACAGAAAACCTACACCTGTCATCTGATCACCATCACCACCTGTTACCTATCACGTACGGCCACGGACTACTTAATTATTCAGTGATCGATAAAGTTGTATCAACTTTTCATTAACAAAAACTATTTTAAGTCAATATTGAATTAAGTCAATCTGAATAAATATGGCTGTTCATTATTACGTACCGCATGCCGTAGGTATTTTCATTAACATCTGCTTTTAATGAGATTGGAATTAAGTGGGAAGGGAACATCGTATGTGCTACCACAGCCAAATTGTACCCCAAAAGGTTTTGTTTTTAGGTTTAAAGTATTCTTTGTTCACAGTAATCATACCTTTTCTATAATATGTAGGTACATGTATGTGGGATGTGGGTACTCTAACCGAGAGTGTAGAATTCGGCCATACCTTAAAGGGGCTGGTCGGGGGAAAATGTCATATTTGCTAAAATGGCATACATATGTTTAAAATACCTTCTTATGAAATATACCGATTCAAATTTTGCTGAAATTCACTCCATAAGAGTAAAAATTATAATTATATTAAAGAAATCGATTTAATTTTACCGCGTGCGCGTCATCAACAAGGCCAAATGTAAACATCGCGGCGAAAGAAAAAGATGCATGCAAAAGTCATGACAGGCACGAGGTATCAATACCGTTATATATAACAACAACATATAGGTAGGAATTCTACACTTGCATCATACATGACCCTTGAAAACAATTATTTACGTATAGTATTGCTGTCTTGTCTGCTAGTTGGGTCCGACATGGCTGACAGACGGCGTGCTATTGTTGTTATCTTCACTGCCTCACTTTCGAAACAACCACGTGGCATATATAAAAAGATCTGCGCTAAATTTACGCGGGGCTTCCCCGAGATTTCAGTGGTCAAAACTGGACATTGCAAGTAGAACTCGGCCATCATATTGCCATGGTATAACTTTTGGAAGGCCAGAGAACGCATTTAGACCCATTTATTTTGTATTNCCCCCCCCCCCCCCCCCGACCAGCCCCTTTAAATTCAAAGATTCATACTAGACCTCCACTGCAAGTTTGTACCGCTCTATCACAACCTAGTCCGTAGGTCGTCTCTAAGCGGTTCATGAACTATTATCCATAGTTAGTGTCACGAGGTGGTGTCACTTGCCGGCAACAAGATTGCCTGAGTCAGTCAAATGATGTTCTGACGCTATTTCCATTGTGACGTCATAATGAAACGCCATTATTTGATTGTGACGTCACAATATTACCAGCAAAGCCTCGGATCTGACCTAAATTCTACTACACTTTCGGATGGGACGATGCATTCTATGCATCTCACCAACAAGCTTCGATGAGCTGACGTCATAGTCTGTGTAGCTATTCTGTCAGTGTAACATGGGTGTTTATGGAAACGATTGGAGTTATATACAAACACACGTTTATCCTTACTCGTCGTGGCTCAAATGTATCGGAAGAGCGTCGGCCTGCTGGTTCTATTGGATCTATCTTGGGAACATTCAACATGTGTGGTTGTAATATGATGGAATAAAAACGGTAAAAAAGCATGCCGAAAATGAATGCCGCTATAGGCCGATTTGATTGTTTTAAACATTTTCGAGCCCTGAGTTACCATATATATATTGATCATATCTCTTCCACCAAATGGAAATATAATTAAATTCATTTCCTTGTCTACTTCTCATTGACTAAATGTGGACACCGATCTGTTTAAAATCAGATCTTTAATTTCACTCCGGTATTCTGCGTAACCAGTTTTAATCAGATTGTGTGGAGACTACAATTTATATTCCTGCCGTTCCATTTTAACATTTGTTGAGTGGAAACGAATAAAAATGTACATGCAAGCGTGTTCCCTCTCTCGACAAGGATTTATAAGTTGCCCACGACCAGTCACACACGGTTCAATTATGCAGCTGGCTTTTGGAAATGGACATGCATGGTTTGCTGTGAAATACAGAGTAATTCATGCATGCGCATAGATCGTTGCCAATGCTACCACGCCGACAATGTAACCGCACTTTTCATTTGTTATTATCCATCTAACCTAATGAGCTGTTTGTGACTTGCCTTGGACGTAGAGCTTTCGTCACGCGAGGGGACACGCATAGTATTTTCTGTTAATTGGAAAAAAAACTTGTTTTTGCCTCTATGTTGAACCCAACAAGTTTCAGAGCTTTTTAATTTGGTGAGCCACTATCGAGCTGTTATGAAAAACACTTGTGAAGCATCAAATCTATTTTTATTTCAACATTCTTGCCGCAAATTGACTACTGCAAACGACATTACTGGAACAGCCTCATATCATCTAAATGTTTGCTTCTTGCAAAAGTCATGTTGTATGTGTATACGAGCTAGAAGGAGAGGCGCCCAACGAAAGTGATCCATTTACGTTTATAGCCGTATGAATGCAATTTCCGTTGCTATTCTCTATACAGGGACTTATAGTGGAAATACAAACGTTTGAAATGAAAACGAGTTAAGAATCTTCTTTATTACCAAAATATTGAGGGTGACATAGTACATACCGCACTAGTCATCGAAACGTCACATATAAACACTTACTGGTTGTGCTACATGAATATTTTCACAACACGTTCTTTGCATGTGATATAAAACTATACACAGAAAAGTTCTGTGTGTATGCGAACGAGCGTCAATGCGTAAAAGAAATGCCACACATAAATCTATATCTGGTGTCGTATTTAAACAAAATATATACACAATAGAAAGTCTTGCCAGTGAAGCGTATAGATAAACAACCAT